TATAAGATTAACTAGCTTATTAACAACTAAATAGAGATTAGCATAGTAGAAATAAATCTAAAAGATAACTTCTACTGCTTTATTAAAAAGAAACTTTCCTCTTCTAGGTATATAAGCGCTATTCTATTCTACTTCTTTAAAAAGAACTTAGATGTTCTCTCTCTGCACTAACTTATAGTAGATTATAATATTAAGCTTACTAAGAACAATAACCTCTTATTAAGCCTACTATATAGTATATCCCTTGAACAACTATAGTTAGTTAAAGAATACCTAGAAGACTACCTTTGCAGAGGCTTTATTACCTATAGTAACGCTTTCTACGCCTTACCTATTCTATTTGCTAAGAAGCTTAGAGAAGGGTAGCAATTCTGTGTTAACTACTAAAAGCTTAACGCTATTACTAAGAAGAATATATACCTAATCCCCTTAATATAGAAGACTTTTACTTAACTAGCTTGTGCTAAAGTATTTACAAAACTTAATATCTAACAAGCCTTCTATTATATTAGACTTATAGAAAAGGTAGAGGATTTAACTACGTTCTATATATAATATAGCAACTTTAAGTACTGCGTACTGCTCTTTAGTCTCTACAACAGACCTGCTACCTTTTAGCAGTATATTAACAAAGTACTCTATAGCCTACTAGACAAGACCTACACTACCTATTTTAACAATATCTTAATCTATTTAGAAGATTCTCTTAAATACAAGGCTTACGTTGCACAAGTACTACAACGCCTTAAAGAAGTAGAACTACAAGCAGATATTAAAAAAAGCGAATTTGTAGTAACTAAGACAAAGTTTCTTAGCCTTATTATTACTATAGATAGAGTGCGTAAGGATTTTAAGAAGGTTGCTGCTATATAAGACTAGCTAGTACCTTAGTTACTTAAAGGCCTATAATTCTTTCTAGGCTTCTGCAACTTCTATTAAGCTTTTCTTAAAAACTACAAACGTGTTGTTAGGCCTCTTACAAAGCTCTTAAAGCAGAGAGCATAGCACACCTTTAGCTCTATTAAGTTAGCTGCCTTTTAGGCTGCTAAGAATCTAATGCTATCTAACAACGTGTTAGTGCACTACTTACCTTATTGCTAAACACAGATAGAAACTAACGCCTTTAATAGAGTAGTAGCAGAAGTTATCTTGCAACTTTAAAAAGATAGTACCTAGTACTCTATTACCTTCTATAGCAAAATAATAAGCGTTGCATAAATAAACTACAACATCTATAACAAAGAAATACTTAGAGTAGTTTAAGAACTTATTAAATAGCAAGCTTAATTAATTAGTTTACAAGACACCTTTAGTACTATTACTAACTACTATGCGCTAGAATACTTTTTATTAAAACGCAAGCTTACTCTCTAACAAATAAGATAAGCTATGCTAGTAGCAGACTTTAACATAACTCTTAGCTATTGTCTAGGCATAGCTAATATTGTTGCTAACGCTCTTTTGCAAAAACAAGAAGAGCTTAAGACCTAAAAGAACAAGAATAAGGCTGCTAGAACGCGCGCCTTTCTATCTTCTAAATAGCTTGAGCTTAAAGCTTTGTTAGAATCTGCAATAGAAACTATAAACGTACTATATACTATTATACTAGAAGCAGAACCTACTATAACACTAAAAGATACCTTTGTTACGCTACTACTATTAGATAACTCTCTTTTAGTAATTAACCAAGTCCTTAAGCTTAATAAAGAGCATAATACCTTGCAGCCTTACTATAATAAAGCTCTATTCTCTAAGCCTAGCTCTTATAAGCTTACTACTAAAGAACTGCTTACCTACAAAGAACAACTTTACGT